GGGGCTGACATTAACATGGCACTCATAAAACAATCAGAGCAGTGAAGCCCTCAAACAGACAGGGCATAGTAATATTTAATAAAAGCGCACACATAATCTTCAGAATTAGCATTTTGTGCCTTGCAGTACCTTTGGGAGAAGAGCTTTTATTTGTGGAGTGATCATTATTATAACAAAGAAGAGCTACCTAATAATTTCCACTTTAACTCTGCAATATGCCACGAGCATTTCTGAACCATTATGCTAAACTGTGGCGGGGTAATCATTTTATTGTCACAGTTTGAAGGAAGAAAAATCCCCTGTATATCAGTAGCTAGGGAAGAACAGGAACACAGGAACACACTGACACACACAGCACACAACCGAAAACTTTTCCTTTTTGTTACCTCTGTGCTGAAGTTGGTGCCTTCCATCCTTTTTTGGAAGGCGATAAGATTTTAACAATGTATATTCTGAGAAAAGATGAAGATTTCAGAAGAACGTTGTTTTCCTTGAGAGTCATTACGGCTTTTGCTCATAAATCCTTAAAATTTATCAATAGAGACCTTAGCTTTCAAGTCAGCGACAAAATTCCCATTGGCTTCAATACATTTGGGATTGCGGTGCCTCCCTCTAACATCTATATCTGTTAACGCAAACCGCAGGAGCAGCACAATGAAACATGTCAGATGTTAACACTGATTTGCTATGATATTATGCAAAGAAGGAGAGCAGCTCATTAAGACTCATAACTGTGAGGCCATTTCAGCAGGTGGAGGATGTGGCCACATCACCTTCAGCCAGGAGCTGCAAGGTCCGTGCCTGCGGTTGGAGGGGTAATGTTTAGTTTTTCCTCAGTCCAACGACTGTTCTGAAAATGTGCACAGAAGAGTCTTAAAATCTTATCTGGTAGTTAGGCTGCCAAACTCGTTTGGTTCTGGTTGTGGTTGGCTGCCAGCTGTTCATTAAAAAAATGTTTATATGTGTAAGAATGTGGAATTATTCTTTTTTATTATAATTCTTCTCTGGACTTAAAGTCCGTTACGTTATCAATCATGTACGCTTCATAGCCTTTACTAGAATTGGTCTACAGTCCTTCACTGCATTTTTTTATCAGCAAAGTTTCAGACTTCATCTAAAATCTCTTCTTTTACAGGAAAACATAAATTTTATGTATTTTTTTAAATATTTGTTTTAAAATCACCATTTTAGAAATGATGCTTTGGTGTTACAGAAGGGCATGTGAAGTGATAATATTTTGAAACAAAATATTTTGTTTTTCTTGGAATGATTAAGAAGTACCTTAGTTAACTCCAGATAGAGATTCTGGAACTTTGCATTCTGAAAAAAAAAAAAAAGTTCTGTACTTTGGTTTCTCTTGTGACCAAAACAAAATGCAGGAAAATCGAGGTCTCCAGTGAAAAGATTATGCTGCCTAGCTCTGTTTTTCTAGGGTTGCACAGAAGTAAACACCTTCCAGACAGCGCTTTGAAAGTTGCCAAATGATTAACAGAAGAAATATGAAGAGCTGAGGGCCTGAGCTGGCCAGACGTTTGTACCGGGGGCAGAAATAGAGCTGAGGTCATTGCCTTGTCCCCCTCCAACGTTACCTGTGGTGACACTGGCAAATGGGACCCGATTCTTCCATCCTCTTTCCTGGTGTTCCCTTGGCCTGGGAAGGGCAAAGTTTTAGTGAGACCAGTGTTCCGAATGACACTGGCTGTTGTAAATACGTCATTGTATAAACATGTTTTGTGCCTTCACAAACAGGTAGCAGTCTGGGTGCCTCCCTCGGCTCGTCTCCTTGGGCTTCCTTGAGCCCTTCAGCAGCCTCCCTTGCCGGGAGCCCTTCCAGTCTTTACAGACACTTGCGTTTTAAGACAAGAGAAGCTGTGTGGGGAAAGTTGGGAAGTCCCACTGTTTTTTGTGACTGATCCCAGGGGAAAGTAATGCCCTGAAATCTCGTGGGACTGCATAGTGCTCCTGGCTGCTTCTCAGGTAGTGCTTACAAAGGGTCCCAACCTGCCCTGCTTATTAAACTGCCAGCTCCTGACTTTTCCTTCTCTAAGGAGGTGTCCTGGGCTATTGGCAGCAGTTTTGGTGAGGCACTGATTCAGCACAATTGCTACATATTTAAATAAAATTACACGTGCGAGTGGTCACGTTGACTTTGTGTGCAAGAGTTTCTCGGTGAACAGCCCACGGCCCCAGTGCAGCACAGTGACATGAGTGTCTGCTCCAAGTCCCCTTGGCTGCCACGGGACTTGGCATGTATTTGATATTAAAGCACATACATGTATAAAGTATCAGAATCAAACACGTGAGGCAGCACAGACAGCGCAGCACCTTGCAGTTCAGAGTGCAGTGTAGGTACCACAAAGAACGTCCCAAGATAAATAGCAAGACCTGTAACTGCAGAACAGTATCTTGGATTCATTTTAAAGATGAATTGAATTTGTAATTTTGAAGCCTGCATATGTTTTCTGTTAATGGCTTATGGTCTCAAACAGTTTTTATTCACTGGTATTTAGGAAAAAAATGTTGCTTGTAGTCTTTAAGAAAAGTAGTTCATTCTGTGACACATGGGAAACTGATTATCTTTGGGTTTTACTGTGGGGGGTGTGTGTCCACAATCAACTGGAAATACTGGAAAGGGTGTAATTTGGAAGTGAGTTTAATTTTTATTTATGAAAAAAATCAATTCTGTGAAAGGGCTAGATGGCATTTTGAGAAGCTGCTTTCACTGTAAATCCATTGCTGTGAGCTTGGCTGAAAGGAAAGCATTTGGTTTTGGACTTTGCAATGGTTTTTATGCACAGCTTTATGCAAGTAACTTGAATCCAAATTAAACATATTGAAATTACTTCTGTGTACGCGCTGCATTTTCGTGATGGTAATGTTAGGATGTTTCTTTTGTTAGCTCATGTAAAAGTTAATGGCTGTACTGTGCCAAGTTTGGAGTAGGGTAATGATTTTTTTTCCTGCCTGTGTGTTTGTGTTTTTCACTGAGGCTGGCATCCCCATCAGCTTAAGTAGTGGAAAAGTCTGTGGCTGACACTTACAACCTTTTGTAGGTAGGGACGGGGTCTGTTTGCTCCCCATGCATGCGAGTCTGCAGCAGTGCCCACAGAAACACAGCCGAGGGTGACTCAACAGCTCCCTTTCCAGCTCCCTTCTGCTTCCCAGCCCCACGCCCACCCCCTGCCCAGGGGCTGGGATGAAGGAGCTTCTCACCAGCCTCGCCAACTCTTGCAATTCGCTCCAGCTGACCAGAACTTCACTAAATAATCATGAAGATGCACAGGGTCTCTTTAGCACTTTGTCTGAGTGACATTTTAAAGTAGTCTTCTGTGGTTTAATTAATTTACTGTCTTTACAATTAGAAGAATGTAGGGCAGGGGCTGTGCCACTACACAGCCGTATTAAGTAATTCATGGGTGCAAGGGTGTTGTCCTGGAGGGTGCTAAAATGGGTGGCTATCATATCCCTGTCTTCCTAGTAAATCCTTACCTGATGAAGTGCCCGAGTGCTCTCCCTTGAGTACCTCATCAAATACTCAAAAGTTACAAACCAAATTAACAGCTCAGCCAGCCTCTCAACCAAGTAGCAATTCACAGCCAAACGCCAGCAACCCTAAAAGAAGAGGTTTATATATATGCACATGTATATAAAATATAGATATGCAGCTAACAAAGTCCTGCTGACTGACACCTGATTGACACTGCAGAATCAGTGTGGGCGATGGCAGCCCTCCATGTGTTTTCAATGGAGCCAGCCTCTTCTCTCCGCTGAGGCCTGGGCTCATATCTAAAGGAGAGGATCTTTCTCTTCAACATTGATGTTGACTGGTGGAGTTTTGCTGCTCCTTAAGGAATCTGTTTTTCATGGCTAATGAAATTGTTGAAGTACCCGCTTTACTTAAAATGTTGTCTAATGGTATGATATATTTTCACCTCGTGCTGTATTAGCAAGAAGTAGGTGGCATTTGGGATGGATTTGCCTCTTTTCATCAACCTATATGACCACCCTGAGACTCCACAGCTGAGTTACCCAGGGCTTTTTATCTTAATCAAGTTATTTTTACAGTAATACTATTCCTGTTGCTTCAGCACAGTTAAATTCTGATGTACTCTGATACTGCAAAGGAGGAGAATCAATATGTGGGTGTTTATATTGCCCTATCGCACCAATGTCTAAAGTTAAGCATGCTTCTGCTCAGTCTTAAACCAGAAGGCCTTACATCAGGAGTTGAGCTTACTACTTTGAGCAGTGCTTGAGTTTTCAGCATCCTCTCAGGAGGCACTTAGTACATACGATGCTAAGAGAATGGCTAGTGAAAACTGGAACAGACTCTGTGAACACTTCAGAATGCATTGCACACACTTCTTAATCATCCCATAGATGCAGTGCAACTGGAATGACTAGATGGCCGGGTTGTAGGGTTTGGGTTTGTTTGGGTTTGTTTTGTGTTTGTATTTTTTGTAGTAGCCAAAGCATTAAGCAGGGCAGGGTTTTTTTAATACTAGAACAACCTGGATCTGATTGCAGAATAGTTAAAGAAGTACTGCAGGTTACACCCTTTTTTATTTAGCCAATATTTTCTGTAATACTTATAGGAGTTCCCTTGATTAATTTAGGTTATGATGGATAATAAAGCAAGCTCACTGGAGATTAACTCAGGTATTGCGCATTTCATATAGAATAAAGATAGGGATTTGTCCTGATTTCCAATTGGTCTCTGCCCATCATGCTGTGACTTTTTTGTTAAAGTAGGCTTAAAAAAGTTAATTTTTTCAATGCAGATAACAAAATGAACAGAAATTAATTGAGAAAAAAATGCTTCCAAAAATATTGTTGGAGGTCATGCACATGTACTAGAAAGAACATGATTGCTGAAATCTTTGTGTTAGTAAGGGGGGAAAATGAAAGCTCCTTTTATTTTATTTTTCTCAAGTCTTCTATCATTAAAATCTGGTTCTAACAGCAGAATACTTCTCTTTTTCATGTGTGTTGAAAAGCAGCTACACCATGTATCAAAGCCATCAGTCCAAGTGAAGGATGGACTACAGGAGGTGCCACTGTCATCATCATAGGAGACAATTTCTTTGATGGGTTACAGGTCATATTCGGCACCATGCTGGTTTGGAGTGAGGTAGGTGTTGTCTGAACGGTAATGTCGAATAGCTTTGTCTAGCTTACAGCCAGCCTGTCCTTTTTCTATGCCACATGCTAAATCAGCAACAAATGTTGAGATGTGAACCCTTTCCTCATTCAGTTTTATGAAAATAATTAGTCAAATTTACCTGTGGCAGAAATCCATTATAGCCAGGGGATTCGCATCTCCTCTCACTGGCCCACAATTTAGCTCAGTGCCTTTTATTTCATGGAAAGGGAAGGATAAATGCCTATGTGAATAATTCTGCGTTTAGCACTACAATTGCTAAGGGCCCACAGGAAACAAACGTTTAGGTGATGCTGTTTTCCAGGGAAACTGGCTGCTTGTAGCTGCAGCAAAATGAGGTGGTGACTGCAGAAATTCAGCGCCTCTGAATAGCACATCCTTAAAATGTAGGTGCTTGGTGTAAGTACCATCTGCATAATAGCAGCCAGATCCACAGTATTATATCCACAGTGGAAAATACAGACTCCTCATGCCTAGTGGGGCCTCTGCAGTTTTACAGTAACCCTGTTTTTGTTTCTTATCCATTTTTTGCTGTTGCTGTTCCTCTCAGCTTCTTAAATCCTCTCTTCTCCTAGCACATAATTAAATGTGGAGTCTGATATTCCCCGAAAGCCCATGGAAAGTTATAACCCTGGCAGCACCACCTGAACAGCCACTTCCACTGCACAGGGCCATAGAAGTGGGGGCAGACTTCTCACTGGCTTCACTGGCATGGGAAGGCAGCTCCAAGGAAAGATTTACATTTTGCATTTGTGATTTTTCAAAAGCATTTTGGAGATTTTCTAAGAAATTGTTATTTTCATTATTTCAGTACTCAAACAAACAGACTAACATACAAACCAGCATCTCCAAAAAAGCTGTATGACGGTTACCAGTGTTGTAAGGATCTTCTAATGCTTTGCCATATATCCTATAAATATTAAATCAAAATTGTAGCTTAATTCATATCCAGCATGTTCCCCCTACTGATTCCATTGCACATATGGCAGCATTTTTTTCGAATGAAGAGTATCCTCTAATGTCCTTCATGGGCTTCACTTTTCTCTCTCTCTCTCTCTCTCTCATCCTTCCACTTGAGGACAAGTGTGGATGAAAGGGCATTCCAGAAAAGGAGATGTAGTAAATGAGCTCTATTCTGAAGCCCTTATGTGATCATGAAAGTGCCCCCTGGGTCCAGTGTAAGCATTTTGTGTGTTAGGATTGAAGCCATTATGGCTACAGACCTTTAACAGGGAAAGGTGGAGAAGCTGGGAGGAAAGTGCTCTGATTTTGACACTGCAGAATTGGATCTTTCATTATAAATCTTGATTCTGTTTATTAGTGGAAGCCATTAATTGGCAATTTCTAATCTCAGGAGAGTGAGTGCCGGTCAAAACATTGTTGCTGATGGTTGCGAGCCCTTGTCATGAAATTAATAATGTTAGAGGGGGTCCAGATCAAAGTCAGTCTATTTGTTGTGAATGCTGTAATGAGCTCCAAGTTGGCTTTGAGTGAAAACTCGTTTCACTGTCTCTCCTTTACAGAATTGCTTCTCAGTTTCATAATCTATGAAAGCAATAGAAAATCCTATCGGGGGAAAGAAATTATTTCTAAAAGAAGCAGACAAACATGATAAACAAGTGCAGAAATGCACGAGCTGTCTGAGTGATCCCTAAATAATAGTGATCTATAAATAATTCAAATTACACTGCTAGCCACATATGAAGTACAAAATAAGTTCTTTTCATTTGCCTTCCCATTTCTAAAAACGTCTAGGGCATGTTCAGGACCCAGGGAGAATATTTTTGTTCTGAATTTCAGTACCTTTAAAACCTGGAACAGGTTCATCCTGGGTTGCCAGTCAGGCCCAGTTTTGAGCAAATGTGGCCAGGTTATTTTGCCATTGAATTCAAGAAGAATTTTCAAGATCATCCTGTTGTTTCCTGGATCCAAAGAAAACATGATTTTAACTGAGCTGTAGAAAATCTAAACCAGAACTAGATAGGCAGAAACTAAAGAAAAAGAGTGAGTCTTGCAGAGCATTTTCATGTGGATTCTTCTAGCTTCATTTTCAGTTGTAATTAATTGCGAGTGGTTTTGGGGATGAAGTCTAATATTTAAATTAAGCATGATTTTGCCACAGACTTTGCTTGGGACCTTGAACAAATCACATAATCTGCTTAAAGTTCAATTCCCTTTCTCTAACATAGTAATAAGATTAGTCACCTTCTTTGGAGAGGTGCTGTGAAGATAATTATCGTAAAGGTCCTATATTACTTAGATTTTATTATAGCAAAATCCATGTAAGTACCTGAGATGCATGGATATTTAAAATATAAATCCTACCACAGTTCAGAAGCAAAGTTAAAAGCAAAAGAAAAATATTGTTCATTGTGAGGGTGAATTTGTTGCTGTCAAGCAGCGTATGTTATAAATAATTTGAAATGTAAATAATATATTTTTAATTTATTTTACATGTATTCAAGTTTTGTAATTGAAATATTTATATGCTTGAAATGGAGTTGACTGTGTTAAAAAAGGAGGTTTAAAATGGTTTCTGAAACACATATTTATTATTTAAACATATATTTTAGCTGTAAACACTCTAACATAATTACAACCTTTCTCAACCAGGGAGAACTAAATAAAAACTTAATTTGTCACATTAATTTTGTGCAGAAATGCAGATACCCTAAGCCAGTAGGTTCAATTAATCCTTAAGTCCCATATTACTTCATAAAAATGACTTTAAAAGCCCTTGATATTTTTAGAATACAGCAAAATGGGCCATCTAATGCCTTTTTTTTCAAGGGACTTTCATAACTGACAAACAAGCGGCACTGGTGCATCGTGTGCACATGCTGAATCTGGACAGACAACTCCCAGCAAAGAGCCCGTGTGCCAGAGAGGCTCTGCCTTTCTGTTTGTCCACGCCGCAAACAGATGGAGTTGTTATCTGCAGGTTTTTACCCAGCGTTCGGGGTCTGTGTGTTGTTGCAAATATTCAAACTCTGAGCTGCTGGTAAAAATCCTGCGATGTTTCTCCTATTGGAGGGCTGAAACTCTGAGAGTCGAGTTTCAGGGCAAATACATGATTGTGAAGACAAAATTAGTTTCTTATAAATATTCCACAATATTTGCTTAAAATGAACTATTTCTTCAAACATTTTCCTGCCAAGAACATTCCTCCAGCTGTAGAGAGTCAGCTGGAAACAACTTCTTTTTCTTTTATATTGAGAAAAGATGAAGCACAGAAACATCAGTTCTTTTACCTTTGTACAGCACAAAAACAGAGGGTGATTTTTTTGGTTTGGTGGGGGTTTTGTAATGCTGCTGAATCAAATTCTGTGACACAGTTTTTTATTTTGCTTTTTATGTTTATTATTGATTTTGGAAGTCTCTGATTTTGAGTGCTTATTTTGGAGGTCTGACTCATTTTTAAAAAATGAGTAGGCACCCTCTTTTTGAAAACCAAGGCTTATTAAGCAGCATCTGGATGCCCAGAACTGAGGCATGCAAAGTCACCGGTCATTTTTAAAAATATAGGGATCTTAAGGGTTCTGTTCTCACTGAAAGCTGTCATTACCTTCAGTTGGTGAGATTTTTCTTCATTCCTGTCCTAATGGCCCTCTTCACATAGAGTCCAAGTTAAATTTATGACTGATTGTCACCCTTCCCCTAACCACAAACCAGAGCTCAAGCATGCAAAAATAAACTAGTGACTCAGATTAATGACATCTCTTCATAAAATGTCAATTTTAAAAAAAGAACGTAACCTGGCACTCTGAGGAGTGTGAAATGATGCTGTATCGCACAAGAATGTCTAGAATATATTAGCAAACCACAGAAAGAGGCTTGTTGTACACGCTTGAACCAAATGTGTTTTGGATTTTGAAGGACATGCACCTCCCTTCATTCTGAAGGCCTCTAACTCAGGTTTTAATGCAATCCACAGCATGTCCCAACTGCCATGTGAGAGTTTATGTCAAACAGCTGGTGCAGTTGCCAAGTATCGGACCAATCCCCTTGAAAGCCCTTGAGAGACAGGGTCCAGTTCCTAGTTTTGTGTCCAGCTCCAGATCTCCATTAGCCAAATGCTGGAATGGAAGAGGAAGCTGGACCTGGGATTTTGACTGGTGGGTTTGTTTCCAAATCACAGGTTAATGCCTTGCTGGAGATTTACATTTAAAAAGTGTGTTCAGAAATGTGCGTAACTCATATTTACAAATTCTTAGTTCTTGGCGTGTCATTGCTGTGGTTGTTACGATGTCTGTTAATGCACCAAGAGTTCCCATCTGAGGTTAGAACACAGAAATGGCCATGTGGGGTCAAACATGGAGGTTCCCCTAGCCCAGTATCTTGTGTTTGGAGCTGGGCAATGACAAATGCCTGTAAATACAACAGGGCAAGCATGTAGTGATGCTTCCCCAGAACACTGTACCAGCCTCCAACAGTTTGGGGCTCAGAGGCTTCCACAAATGGTGCCTTTACTTTTAATACTCCTTGATGCTAATAGCTTACCTTTTCCAGATGCTTTATATGCAGATATGAGCCAGGCTGTGCCTTGAAGAAGGTGCAGCCTGTGTCAGTGTGAGAGGAGAAAACATGCTAGGAAAAGGTGGAGTGGGTTCCCAAGGTCAGGCCACAGATCGACTGTATAGACAGGAAAACATCCCATAATCCTGGAGTTATTGAAGTCAGGGGCAGATTTGCTCTTGTTGTGGGTTGGCCTGGAGTACCCTGACCCATGCAGCATCCATTGGGTCACTCAGATTGCAGAACGGAGTTAGGGCCATTGGAAGAGCTGGTCCCAGTCCATAACGCAGATCCTGGCAGCACTGGGGAATCTCAGTTTGAGACCAAAGGTGGGTTTCAGAGGGCACATTTCAAAGTGCAAGGGGACACTGTTTGTCTCTTGAAGACAATTTCTTGATATGACAGCAGCATAGGGGACTACTGGTATGTAACCAAGCTAGCCAGTTCCTTTCTGTGTATACGAGAACTGAAGGCTGACCCAGAACAAAGATCTTTCTGGCTCAGCACTATATCCCTGACAGTGGTCAGTGGCAGACGCTAAGGAGAAAAACCAAAAGGAAAAGGCACATGTACTCTCCTGGTATACCTCCCAGGCTTTAGTTCTAGAGAAGAGAGGAGTAAAATATATCCTGAGTATCCTAAACCATAGGACTTCAGACATAATGTTCACCCTTTGGGAATGTGTGGGCGACATTATTGTATATTTGTGGTTTTAAACACAGTTAAACTTATTTACTTCAGAGCACAAAGGAAAACCAAACTGTTTGTGGAGAACAAACCAGGAAACTTGCTTAACTCTCCCCAGCTCTCTGTAACAATGGACCATAAATAGGTCAGACATTTCTTGGGAACCAGGGAAGATGAGTATTGGAAAATGCCACAAATTATGCTTAAAGAACATTAAAGTGGTGACAGACCAGTAAATGCTGGGAAATTCGAAGATACAACCAGAAGCTGCCTGTACAGTGCATGCCAGAGTGGGGGTGAGGGGTGCAAGGCACAGGCTGATGTAGTAAGACTAGCATGTTAACCTTTACTATTAAAATCCTTGGCTGTTTTTACAAGTATTTTCCCCCTAAAAATGTTATGAAACTTCTCATCTTGCCAGTGCACCCAGTTAACTAGAACCACTTGAGGATGGGATTTCTCTCAGCTATGTTTGACTGCCTGCAGTTAAGCATCCAATCTAAACTTGTCATCTTGGTTCACTGGAGAAAGGTAGATGCTTCCAGAGAGCAGCTCATCCCAACGTGAGAGGTGTCTAAAGCCCTGGAAATGAATTACTATTGGGCAGTGCTTTCTGCCCTCCACTGACTATTGGGAGTGTGTAGAGAATTGGCCTGGACTTTTAGGCTTTGATTAGCCCAGCTGTAAGAAAGACAACTCAATTTGAGTAAAAGCAATCCTTGGAAGTTTGCTTGGGGTTTGGTTGTGTTATTTTTTCTTTTGTCTATTTGTTTCATTTGTTGTTTTATGATTTGTTTTTTGGTTTTTGTTTGTTTTTTTTTTCCCAGTCAATAAAGTGAGTAATTTAGAAAAAAGGCAGGTTTCTTTTAAAAATAAATAGGTTTCTAAATCACATTATTTAAAAGCAGAGCCTGGAAACATGTTCTTTGGAGCTCACAAAGAAGAAGGAGACGATTCCTGCATGATCATTTCTAATATGGCTTCTGTGGATCTGAATAACTTTTGGAGCATTTGATGCTGGTAGTTTTGGCTTTAATCTTCAACTTGATTTAATATTAATTTTCTTATTTTAAATATGGAGAACTTCCTACTGTGAATGCCGTTTCCCTCAGTAACACAGATGGCTCTCAGACAGACATTACTTTGCTTCTGTGCTTTTTCAGTCCTGTGCCCTAAACCAAGGGCTGGTTAAAAGTCTCATCTTTTGGTAGGATCTTACTACAATTTTGAAATATTTGGTTCCTAGTAAAAATAAGAATAAAATCAGCTTTTTATTTAAAAAAAAAAAAAATGATTAAAATGTATTCCCTGAGCCAGAACATGAGTCAACCAACAGCATAGAGTGCACAGGGAGCCCATGGCTTTGCTTATTGTCAAGGCTGGTTATGATTTTGATCTTGTTTGCCTCTCTAGAAGTGTGTTAATGTGCCACAGTCAGTTAGAGAAGGATTATCTGTGTGCCAGAGCTCTATCTTGGTTGCTGGACACAATCTTGTCACCTTTTCTGTGTACCTCTCTTAATTATTCTTGTCTGAGGGAGCATAATGAGTGAGAAGAGGACATTGCAGGGATGGGGAGGACAACGCTGTAGTTTCTGAGTGCAGTAGAGATGAGAGTTAACCTGCCATAAATTAGTGAACTTGTAGATGGCTCTAATGTTAATTTCAGGGACGATGTTTTAAATCCAGTCCAGAATCCTGAAGAAGTAAAACTGATCCAGAGCCTGGGAAGTGCAGCACTGATCCACCCTAACCTTTGATGTTAAGAGGATCAGGATCCCCTTAGCAAGAAAGTTTTGTCTACTTATTACTGTATAAATCCACGTCTGCAGATGTGTTTCAGTCATTGCAGTGGAGGCAGACTGGAAGTGATGGTTAGATGGTTATATCTGGTATATCTCTTTTAAGCGCTCTCATCATTTACGAGGAAAGATCCAGGATCTTTCAGAAGCCAAACCTGGCTTTCTGCAATAATCAGTTATACCTTCACAAAATGAACAGAAAATTAAAACAGCAGCACATGGTGCTTTTGCAATGTACAGGTGTCAGCTGGGGACCCGTGCATTTAAAATCCTGCCTGGACTTGGCGTGTGCAGTGAATCTCAGCCTGGGCTTGTGCTGTGCCGTGTTCCCACACGTAACTGTGTATCACTTATAGGTCGGATTTGTTGGACACTGGCATGACCCCCGTGTTCACCTGAGCAAACACAGGCATCCTGCTGCTGTAAGCTAAAGTTATTGCGTTAAACCAGGGCTAATGCTTGTACTAGGAAGCAGCTACCTGCCACGTATGAAAACAGAAATAATGCTGTTATGACTGAGAAGGAGAATGCTTGTAAATATTGTAGTCACTGGCTTTTGTGTGGGTTACATCAAGATTGTATTCAAACATTGACAGGTTAATTACATGTTTCAAAGCTTGTTTACTGTGATCTGAGAGGAAAGTGTTATTAAAGAAGTGTTCAGCATCTAACAGCGCTTTTTTTTCCCCTTTCTTTTCCCTTCTCAATGTTTTCCCCTAGCTGATTACTCCTCATGCCATCCGTGTACAGACGCCTCCCCGACATATCCCAGGGGTTGTAGAAGTCACATTGTCCTACAAGTCTAAGCAGTTTTGCAAGGGAACACCTGGAAGATTCATTTACACAGGTAAGGATGCTTTAGTACTAATATAACATGGAGAAATAGGGCAGGCAATGTATCACACTTGCTAGGGCTTCTGCTTTCGTCATTAAAAGCTCTACTGTATTTTATTATTTTGGCTAAGCACGTCATTGAAGATACCAATTTAAGGTTGAATTTCAGAAGTGGATGACTGCAGAGATTAATCTGAAAACATACCAGTGTGGGATTTTTCTTCGCTTGTTTGTCCTTGCAATGGGATGTATCTTTACCCAGGAGGGGGGAGGAAGAAGAGAAATACATACTCCAGTACGTAAACAAACAGAGAAAGAGTGCAAGCATCAAGAGCCAGACATACTGGTGCAATCACAAACCTGACTTCCAAGAAGCATCTTGCTAAATATCTCCATCTCATGCTGTCCGGCAAGTGTTGCATGTGTTCAAAGCAGCAGCCTGTTTGCCTGTCCATCTCACCATAACATACTTGACCCTGACTTCCAGGGAGGCTCAGTACCTTTCACCCCAGCTGATGCTGCAGACATAGAGACTTGCAGTGTGTTTTGGGGTGGCATCCTTTGCTGAGACCACTAAGGCAAGTGGTTTGGTGTGAAGAGTTATTAACAAAAAAACCCCATGCTAGGACATTGCAGGTGCTGTCAATGTTAAACCTCTCTCAAGAGTGGTAAGGACGGCATGGGGAATAAATCAAGTAGCAACCTAAGTTTCTGAAAAGAATGTGTGTCACTGATTCTTTGGAAGGTGTGCATGCGACAAGAATTAATGGCTTGGTCCAGATTTTGATGTGCTTCTACTTTTATGCACTTGTTTTTCAACATGTGCAGACAGGACTACTTCTGTAGCTGTTTGCCTGAACCGTGCTTCATCATAATCCAGTGTCATTCCTTCCCTCATTCTTAATTGCCCCAAAACATTAAGATTAACTTTAACTTTATAGGCATATCATAAAGTATATCATAAGCTATATCATAAATACTTGTGGCTATGAGGCACTCTGAATTACACATACATTGCACATATATATGGGCACATACATTACTCCAACTGTGAATGTACACACAGGGACTCGAGGCAGAGGACAGACCTCTGTGCTCCAGCTGGGTAACGAAGCTCTCATTTGATTTTCTTAACACTAACTGAGTTGAACAAAGGTGCCTTACAAAACTTTATCGTATTTTTCAAATACCCTCTCCCCCGGTTGGGATTATGCACTGAGTTTCTTTAAACTGAGTCTTCAAGTATTCATGTATTGCCTTGCTGATTGAGCAACCAGCACTTGTGGAAGCTGTGTGTATTTATTGTGAGCATTCTAATTTCAACATTATGTGGGAAATTCATGTATTGGACAATAGTGCACCATATCAAAAAAGCTCTTTTGGGTTTGAATGTGTTGGAACAAAAGCAAAAGCTAAGGGTTGTAATGCCAGCTGGTGCAAATTGCCACATGAATGTGTCAGCCAGAGCTCTGGACAGTTTGACCATGATCCTTTCCCTTCTCCCTTTCTTGCTCATGGTAAGTTGTGCTGTCCTGCTTGTTGTCAAGCCACAAGCATGGCTCCATTCTGGGTTGGTGAAATGGCAAGTATGCATGCAGAGGGAGAAGAAAGGGAGGAAAACTGCCACCCTCAACCTAGTGAAGAAATTTTTGGGAACTTCATTTTGCTATTTAAATGTAAAAATGGCTTGGACCTATTTTGGTTTTGCTTTTCAGATCATCATTAATTAGCTTTTCCAGGAAAAAGGAGGGCAGCGGTTTAGTCTGTCTGCCCAAGAGCAAATGGCTGAATGTGAAAATAAGGTGTCCCAGTAGGGAGAGTGTTTCCATATATGCATTTTCAGGTTAGTGTCTAAAACAGATTATTTTTCTTTCAATAAATGCAAGTTCTGAAATACTAAACAACAATGTTAAAATCAAAGGTGGTCCGATCCACGGACAATTCTCTTACTTATGCAGCTTTTATGGAGTTACGGTAGATACAGAAAAGCTATTGTGACTGAAATCGTACCTCACACAATTTGCATTTTCCTTTTAGAGGCAGCTCGAACTTAAATGTGGCTCTTTAAAAAGGACTAAATGAAACAAAAATAAAAACAATTAATGCATCCTGACCTTCAGAAGTGCCTTCCAGCCCTTTAAACAAAATGCAGGTTCAGTACACGCCTGCCGATTAGTTTTAGTTAATTGAAAATTATAGGATTGACCCAAGAGGAAAATTTTGTTTGCACTCCAATCACTTTTACAAATTAAGGAAAATTACCACAATTTTGTTTAGCTAAGGTTTCACACTGAGTTCACGAAATTAGCTCAGCCATCCCAACAAAGTCAGCACTTTGTTAGTGAGCACTAGAAAAAAACTAATAGTCTATGGTGTGTACAAACGAAGCATAGAAAAAGCTATGATGCTTTAGAGAACTAGGCCAAGTGTTTTTAATTAGGATTATTGGTTCATTGTAAGTTTTGAAGAACAATCAAACTAGCAGATTAGCTGTTTCTTTTAAAGCTAGAATTTCTTGCCATTCATTTTTCCCATGAGAACTTGTTTTAACTCCCACATAGCACTATTTTTTTTTTTTTAACAAGGCCTGCAGGAAATGGACCAATTGGAAGTTGGGATACAGTAACATTCTCCAGCATCACTCCAGCCGATGGGAGTTTTTCACAATGTTCTTCAGTGAACTCAGTGTTCTGGAACATATTACAAAACCACAGAGGCCAAATGTTTTCTCAGAGGAGTTTGGCCTCTGTTTTTGGCCGAAAACATTTCAGCATCACTTGCTGCTTATTTACCCTGCTATTAAGAACAAGGGGAGAGGAGGGAAAGGGGAAAAAAAAAAAAGCAAAAAAAGAGAGTGTGTGTGTGAGAGAGAAAAAGACCTGGGGTTTGTGGGCGGTGCAGGAGTTGATCAAGCGTAGTTTCCTTTCTGGTGAGAATGTCCCTGCTCGTTAATGGTCCCATTTTGTGGTCAGGTCTCATTTAGAAGAAATTATTTTTAATCAGTGTTCAACAAAATATCCCCTCAAGCCACCTGGCTGTAAACTGTTTTTTTTTTTTCTTACTGTTAAGTACTTAAGTTCTCAGAAGAAAATACCCAGTGACCCATTAATTTTAGCCTTTCTTTTCCCCTTTAACTGCAAATAACTTAGTAACATGATCTCTAAGTAGTCCATGTGCCATCTAGGAACCAAGGTCACATATATACAGAGAAATCCTGGTGTTTGTAAGTATTTTTGGAAGAAATAAACCAGTGTCAACCCTGTGCTTGCAAGAAGACATAAGTTTTTTTTATTTTCCATCTGCAAAGCAAGCCATTAGCATGCATTATATAGCAATTATTTCCTGAATTTTAAGCTTTGACATTCCTGAGAGAATGTTATTAGAAATACAGAAGCCTGACCATTTCTAGCACGTGTGTTAATTTTGGAGTAATATTAAAAGTTCATATTGCCCATAAATACCCAAACATGCTGGTCAGTATTTCCCCGTGGCACCCGTCACGTGTAAGTCTCTTCTGGTATTGAAGAGTTAAGCTTCACATCGCAACTTAGGAGCCAGGTGTGTATCACTACCATTATTTTAGGACCAGAGAAACTGAGATGAAGGAAGAAACCATTAGTGATACAAGTCCATAGGTAATTTGCCAAGGTGACACATATGCCAAGGGCATATATGGTTGAGTTAAATAAGGGATGAGAATTGGCACAAATCTGTGATACATAGACAGACCTTTGAGATTTGTTTTGTTTTAATTTAAAGAAATGGATACATCATTGACAGTATGATTTTCTCATATGAATTTTGCTATGGATTGTGGTACTATACCACAAGATTTGAGTGGGATCGCATGAATGTAAGTGAAAGGAGAATTTATCTCATTGGATACTGGAAAGGACATATGGAGGGTCCATAAAAATGCATTGTGCTGTGTCTTCTACCACCTGCTCAGTTTAAGGTTTTGTGCTTTTTTCCCGAACCAGAGCAAAGAACTACATAGGGGCCAGAAGTGTATAGCTTTGTCAGTAAGGTTATGTATACAACATGGGGGTAATTCAGATTCTTGGCTGAGCAGTATCCCAAATACTGTTACTTTTTTTTGGTGTTTTTTTTTTGAAAACTCGTCACATGGTTGGATATGGGTTGGAATTTAGGGACCTCTTTCGTTTGCATTAGTCTTGTGGGGAGGCTGCGGGCTAAACCATTTGTATGCTGACAGGTACCTAGAGAAACAGCCAAGTTCCCCCCAGTTCATTTGGGCTTGTTATCAGCTATGGGATAGGGTATGTCTCTAGAAGTGCTGCTAACAGGAATGGTGGATGTAGGGTCAGCACAGACACACGGGGCTCGCTGTGCAGTGTGAATAACCCCGATGCTGAGTGCTGCTCCTCCAAGACAATTGTGACGAAGGCAGAGTGGGTCAGAGTGGAGCGGTGCTGAGACCGACCAGTGTTTGCATTACGCTTCTGGGGCATTGTGTGTAGTGTGATGTAGAAATGTGAGCTCTGTGAAGGTCAGGATATTCGCAGAATTTCTGGGAAATTGCCTCTTCCTCTGAAATGTCATAGGGCTTCTCAGAGAACCTTTCAGTTGCTACAAAGAAGAAATAACCTAATGTGGAAAAATCCTTGCTACATCCTCATTTCACCCTTTATTTACTTCCAAAAACATTTGACACTGTGTACAAACAGGAAGAGCCTTGCAGATCACAGATGATTTGGGTGAAATTTTCAAAAACCTTGGGTTTAGGTGGCTGGGTTTCTAGGTTTTTATCTTGAAATGGTTTAATTTACAGAAGTGCAGGGGTAGTCATCTTCTGAGAATTATTCTCTTTTCATTTCTTAAGTCAAATACCTCTAAGAGTAAGAGACCAAAAACTACCCATGACCATTTAAAATTTCAGTCTGTGGCCCTAGAAGTAGAGGTTTAAGTCATGTACACAGATCTGGTTAGAATTGGAAAAACAAAGTTTCCAACCTGGTAATCTTCAAGGATTCCTTTGCTAGGAAACGTCTCTGCTTCCAAGAAGGCACCAATAACTATGCGAAGTTCAAAAGATACATAATCAGTGAAGCAATCAGTTTTCAGAATTGCAAGTTCTGGAGTTTGTAGACTTAAAAAAAAGAAAAAGAAAAGAAAAAAATAGAAGTGGTGATGAGAGGCAGACTGGCTGTCAAGGGGTTCCTGTAGCCCCGCTGGAGCCTTTCTTGACCCCTGTGGGCTAGAGTTTGACCCTTACATGAGCTAACCTTGGCCATAGCGGTGTATCCGTTAGTTCCTGAGAAATGTTTAAACCTAGTCATAGTTATTCTCAGCATCAGTAATAGACAACCTCATTAGTTTTACAATGCCTCATTCATGTGTGTTTATCATTAAGTCATGAGCACTTAAAAAGTTGATTGGTATAAATGAGGAGAGAAGGCCACCATCAACAGAACAATAAAAATAAAATTAAAAAGCCAGCATTTCTGATGCTGTCTTGGGTTTTATCCCGAAGTGTTTATAAATTTCTTCACCCTCAAAGATATGGCGATCATTAATCTGAAATGAAATACAGAGCACATCACTTCTCCAGAAGAGTGACCAGTTATGAGATCTGGTAGCTAGCAAATGAATGCCATTTGTTTTTAACAGCAGTTGTTATCTGCCTTTCACTAGTAAATATTAATAGCAGTGGTAGAATAAAAAGTATCAGATGCCTCAAAGTTAAATAGTCTGTCACTGAGTGCTACAGAAGAACAGAACAAAATCCCTCAATACAAAAAAATGTATAAAATTTAAAATAAGAGCTGGTGTGTGTTTTTAAAAGCAGGAGAGCCCTGTGCTGCAGGTTACCCTGTGCTCTGGACACTCAATATAAAGTCTGTTCCTGATCTCAGAGAGACTCTGGAGGACAGAGGAGAGATGGTAAATCCTAACAATCAAGTAGGGAAGAATTAAGTTAAATCCCTTGTAAATGTAGACTTTTACCGGGGAATTTAATTAATGTATCTGGAAACAAACAAAAAACCCCTCTTATAACAGCTATCTGAAAAAATGTCCTAATGCAGAGATCACTGGGTTCCCCCTTCATCTCATTGTGCCAGTGTTTGTTCCCAACTGTACCTTGCCATGGGACACCAAAGGCATTGGGTGGTTTGTGGAGCTCAGAGCTGGGCCTGTCTTTGGGGTGATGTTTGTACTGAAGGAGTTAAGCTGTATATGTGACTTTCTGCTACTATAGGAATTTGTCATAGTCACTGCTGAACTGGGTCCTCATGGCACTGCTCCTACGTCAGGGACACTTAAAGGTAAAATGCAGATGGGAAAACAGGGGAGGGATTGGTGCAGTCTCTCCCTCCAAGAACCCACATCAGTGATGTGCTCTTGGGCGTTACTTGCCTTCGAAAAGGAAAGTTACCCTTAGGAAATCTCTGTTTGAGTTTAAGCTTGAACCTGGCCCTTTCTAAGTTCCAGTCCACTAAGTTAGATGATCTGCTCAGTCAGTATTAACACCTGGGCTTCCTGGTCTGCCTGGAAATTTTTAGGGGAAAAAAAAATAAAAATGGTTGCAATTGTTTTGGCACAAACTTTCCCAGATGAAATATCTTCAGTCTTTGTTATTTGGTGTGGGCTTGGGGATGAATGTTGTTACAAAAGGTTTTGTTTTGAGGTTTGTTAGGTTGTGCCCAGTGAAGTACAGACAGTTATCAGGGTTGAATATAAAGAATATTAGGAATATCAGTGTTGTTGGTTTGGTTTGCAGAAATTCAGGAAAGGAAGCTGAGAGGAAGCCTAATTGATTGGAGAGAAAAGGGTGTTACCTGACAGCGAGGAGGCAGTGGAGGTAGACTGTTAAACAGGAACACAGAACCCTCGTGTCTTCAGTATTTCTTAAACACTGGCAGCACCATAACACACTGCAAAAAACAATCACAAAAAGTGTGCAGTGTACCTGTAAGACAGCTGCAAAATGAAAGCAATTACAGCAACTGTCAGAATAAAGCTGGCTGTGAAGGAAACATATTATTTTGCATATTTTATGTACACACTTCCCAAGAAATATGACCTTTATTTTCTAGTTAGAGGGAAGTGCAATCAGAGTCTACACAGCAAAGGGTAGCTGGATCATTAAAAAGAATATTTTCTCTGATATTAGAAGTCTAAATGGGCACTAGTCCTTATTCACAACCTTGGCTGTTTCTGTCTGCCCTGAGTTAATAAGTGATAAGGCCAAAAGAGAAATAAATCACTGAAGTCCCTGTCCAAAGAAAACATATTGACTACAGCCAAGCAAATAACAGCCCATAACCAATGGTCCCATTCATCATTCATGTAATAGGGATATAAAGTATTCTCTACCTATGAAACCGTGGAGTAGGAAAAAGCCCGATAAGCCCCCAATCTAAGCTATGTGATTTGATTATTAAAGGACATGAACTGTTTGTCACATACCTTTAATCTTTTAAGATGTGTTGCCACTTCTAAACTATAAATTTGTGGTAAAGGATTAGAAAGCTATTAACAGCCAAGGTATAAACTAGACTTTATAAGGATTCCTGCAATTGTCATGCAACCCTATAGACCCTTGGAAACTTAACGTATTGAATATGATATAACATAGTCAACTGACCTTCAAAGCCAATAAACTATTTTTTGCTTTTCAAGTTCCAGACTTACTTCATGATAAATTAACCCTCTGGGTTCGCAAAATAAGCCTTGTAAATTCTTTTCTTTATCCCCACCCCAAAAACATTTAAATTTTCATGCCCTCGCTTCAAAACTCTCTTATTCCAGACTGAAATTGTTAATCTTTTTTTATTCTCCTTTTAGCTCGTGTCAGT